ATCAAAGAAAACATGAAGCCTGGTATGAATGTTGTAGATATTGATAAATCAGGAATTTTATGGGTAAAGTTTTGTAAGATATTTTTTCATTTATCGGAGGATCTTTATATATGTTTCTTATATATTCCTCCAAATAATTCAGTATACTTTAATATGCACGAATTGGGATTTTTCGAAAGTTTAGAAGAAAATGTTCGAAAATATTCTGAAATTGGTTCAGTTTCAGTTATCGGAGATTTAAATGCTAGATGTGGTAACAGAAACGATTACTTGAATAATGAGTCGAATTTTAATAAATATTTACATGTTATGAATAGAGATATTGAATATACTTTATGTGACTTGCCACATAGGTTTACAATGGATGAATGTGTTAATACCTCTGGTATTAAACTTTTAGATATTTGTGCTAATAGTACATTAAAAATTGTCAATGGTCGTTGTGGAGACGATGCTGGAATAGGAAGTTTTACAAATTTAAACCAAAACGGTAATAGCCTGATAGACTATGTGTTATGCACGTGTGATTTATTTCCATTTATTAGCAATTTCATTGTTCACGATTTATATACATTTTCAACACATGTACCGTTACAAGTATGTTTTAAAGCAAAATGTTTGTTGAATCCATCTGAAAATGAGCGTGTTGGTTCCGGTGTAAAGTTGAAGTATGATGAAGACAAAGCTCAAGAGTTTAGAGATATTATGGATATTGAATATAATCGTATAGATGTAATGGTGAATAATATAATATCGTCTGATATAGATTTTGATACAGGTATAGATGATATAGCTCAGTGTTTATATGACAATGCTCGTTCTGTTTTTTGGTACGAGAAAAAATGTACATAGTTTTAAGAATAATGAACGTAAAGGTAAAAATCCTTGGTTTAACAATGAATCTGAAGTTGCAAGAAAAGAATTACGTAATGCAAATAGAAATTATAAAATATGTATGTCTACAGATAATAGAGACTTACTAGTTATAAGGCGAAGACGATATAAACAGACAAAACGAAGAGCGATAGTACAATACAAAAATAGACAGAAAGATAAACTTCATAATTTAGCGAAAAATAGTCCTCAAAAATTTTGGTCTGAGATTAAAAAACTTAAGTCAAGTAATCCAAAAGGGTTTAAAATAAGTAAAGATCAATTTTATGAACATTTTAAAGATTTGTACGGTGACAGGGATATTTTTACTGATAGGGATGTAGAAGATAATATAAATAATTCGGAATCAGACGATATTTTAGTTGATGAATTAGATGTAGATTTTTCAATTGAAGAAATTGAAAGGGCAATTACTTCTCTTAAAAAAGGCAAAAGTAGTGGGGATGATCTTCTTACACCTGAACTTTTTATAGATTGTAAACACATTATTTCACCATTATTATGTAAATTATTTAACCACATGTATTCAAAATGTATATATCCAGAAAGTTGGACTAAAGGTATTGTGGTGCCTGTACCTAAAAAAGGTGACCTGACTAATATAAATAATTATAGAGGTATTACCCTTACAAGTATTTTTTCAAAGTATTTTCAATCATATTAGATAACAGACTAAGAAAGTGGTCGCAAAATGTAAATGTATTAGATGAATGTCAATTTGGTTTTAGTAAAGGAAAAAGCACTGTTGATTGCATTTTTGTTTTGAATAGTATTATAAGTAGAATATTGAATTATGAAAGAAGAAAATGTATATAGCTTTTGTAGATTTTAAAAAGGCGTTCGATGTGGTATACAGAAATGGTATATGGTTCAAGTTAATTTCTTATGGTGCATCATCAAAAATTGTAAATATGCTTAAAGTCATGTATGAGAGTGTAAAAGCATGTGTCAAAGTAAAATGGCAGTTTATCTGATTATTTCGACACATATATGGGAGTAAAGCAAGGAGAACCATTATCTCCTCTATTATTTCTGTTTTTTTTATTAATGATATGCGAATTCAACTTAGCGAAGACACTTTAGATACATTTACTGTTGACGAATTACAGATATTTCTATTGCTATTTGCTGACGATACTGCTTTATTTTCTTACTCTGTGGATGGTTTACAGCATTTGTTAAACAAACTACATCAATACTGTGCAAAGTGGGGTATTATGGTCAATACGAACAAAACTGTAGTAATGCTTTTTAAAAATGGAAATAGGAATGAAAATGTTGATGTATTTTATAATAATGAGAAAATTGAATTTTGTTAAATCATTTACATATCTTGGTGTTACTCTATCTTCAAATGGTAAATTTTATCAAACACAGAAAGCCTTATCAAAGCAGGCAAACAAAGCACTATATTCATTAAATGCCCTGTTTGACAAAGTGCAAATGGATATTTCTGAAAAGATAAAATTGTTTGATGCTATGGTATTACCAATTTTAAATTATGGTTCTGAAATTTGGGGCCTTCATAAAGCTCCAGATATTGAGCGTATTCATATCAAGTTTTTAAAGCAAATATTAAATGTCCGACAACAAAATGTAAATGCAACGGTTTATGGTGAACTAGGTAGATTTCCTTTGTATGTGTATAGAAAAATAAGAATTTTGAAATATTGGCAAAGGTTGAAGAATAATCGAGATTCTTTGATTTATAAAGTGTATGAAATGGTAGATGTTAATGGTATTATTGTGAATAGATGGTCTTTGGAAGTTAAAGAACTATTAGATGATCTTGGCTTCTCGTATATGTGGAACTACGTTGATATCTCAAATGGTCAATTGCAACAATTAATACAAAGAGTAAAAGATCAATATATTCAAATGTGGTATAATAGTATACATAGTATGTCAAAATTAGATACATATTGCTTATTTAAAAACGACTTTTCCTCAGAGAAATATCTTATATGTATTAATAATATAAATTACAGGAATGCATTGTGTAGATTTAGATGTTCTGCACATGACTTGTTGATTGAAGAAGGGCAGACATCGGAATATTGATAGAAAACAATAGAAAATGCACTAAATGTAACATGAATGTGATTGAAAATGAATACCATTTCTTGATGGTATGTCCATATTATAGATCAATAAGAATGGAAAATCTGCCAAAATATTACAATTCTTGGCCAAGTATACAGAAATTTAAAAATTTGATGAAATGTGAAAATAAATGTACTCTTAACAAACTTGCAAAATATATCTATCTGGCTAATTGCAAACGTGGAAATGTACAATTAAACGATGAATTTTAGTAACGTTAACGATATATTATACTTCTATACAAATTATATAAAGTACACATTTGTAAATATGTATTTGTCAAGTCGTTACAATATGTACTTACTGTCTTAACTGTATAATTGTCATAAATATTTATTTTTATAATATTTTCTCAAAATTGTCTACATGAACTAAATTCTTAAAATACAATTAAACATGTCAATCACCCTGTTTATGAAACACGTATGCACTAATAATTTACATATTAATGTATATCCTGTACTATAGATTGTATATATAATTTGTTAACAGCTTTTCGAATGTCTTGTTAATATGTTTCACTTTGTGTGATAAATTATGTTATACTTTTCTCATAATTATGTTACTCTTTACCGCCATACATTGTTACAACGTATTGGCGATGAACATGTATATATGTTTGTGCCAAATAAAATGTTTGTTCTGTTCTGTTCTGTTCTGTATCACATCGGTAATTTGACCATGCTTGAATTTATGTCTTATGTACTAACGTTTTCAATATGGGGATACATTTAGAAATGAACAAGTTAATGTCATATCAAATATGTATCTTTTTATGTAACTAAATATCTTTTTACACGTATATTATATTTATATCTCTACTTTAAACTCAATATGTATCCCCCCTAAAAAATATTTTTACACGTGTACATGTACACTATTTACCTGCCGATGGAGCCGCATACTTGTACTGCGTCGCATTTATACATTGAGGTCATGATTCCGCCATTCACGGAAAGTTTTTAACGGTGTTATTTGATTTCGCCGTGGTTATTTATATTTGCTGTTGGCATCAAAGATAAATAGAGAAAGGGCATTTTAGCAAATTACAAGATTTTCTTGATACAACTTCATGTAGATCTACTAATTAATTTTCGTACTTGTACATGTATATCTGGTTTCAAGTTCACAGAGTACAATTATAAATAGATCTACATTTATTATACAAATGAACATGTATTATTCCCCGCGAATCACGGCAAATGTTCACGGCAAAATCGCCGCAAGTTGAATTTGCGGCAATTGTCTCAAGTTGCCGCGAATTCGCTCGCGTTATAAAGCATGGGAGTTCGCCGCGAATACACGAATTGTGCGGGTTTCGTGTGTCCAGTACTGTAAGTCAATATTTGACCTAAAGCGGAGTACAAATACAAAGATAAAGAAGGAAATTTGACGGGAATTTATAAATTCTTCGACTAACATGGAATTTTGCGTAAGTCATAATGACTTATTGAGAGTCAACAGTATTTAAAATGTGAATTCATTCATGAAATTAGTTTATGTGATTTATAACACTTTCAACAATAATATAAAATCTGACATACCTTGTCATTTCATATAATTATAGAGAATATTATATATAAGAAAGGTAAAAACATTCAAAATACAAGTTATATTTAACATGTTATATGCGGTTAACACAGATTTTGCAGTATTTTATCGTCATATTTCTACTGCGTTACTAACCACAGTAACTTGGGCTGTTTTTGCATATGTTGACCACTTTTTGGTAACTTTCGTGGATTGTAAGTGCCGATTGCAATTATTTTGCTTTTAAATATATTTCCAAAATTTTCATGAAAATTAACATGAATCTGGAGGCATGCTGCTTTAATGAGAAATAAAGTATCTTTATGTAAAAATGAATACATTTATCTAGTGTCATATCAATAATGCCTCCATTAAAATAGTTTCAATTTCAGAATTCTAGGATGGAAATCAAAGTGCTACATCACAGTCCAATCATGTTTGGGTTTTATGGTACATCAACAAAAAAAATGTATACATTGTGTCAATTCAAACTGTAATATGATTTGCTATCACACTGACATTTTCTAAATTATCTCTGAAAGGCAAAATAATAACATACATAAATATATGAAACAAAACTTCCAGAAAATGTTCAAACACTGGACAGCAATTGAACAATAATTGAAAATATTGCAGACTCTTGTGTCAATTTGACTTTCATACAAATAATGGAGAGCCCAACATCTCTCACAATCCCAGGTAAAAGTTTTAGTAGTATTCAACCTTCTACTATAAAAGAACTGACAACAGGTTTACATATGCAATAAAAGTATTAACAAGCTTTCTTAAGCAGATTGTTTTGTTCAAAATTATTTCTTCCCTATTAAACTTATTTTATCCATCAGCTGAATGATATCAAACATATCTTTGTCAATAATTGAAAGTTTGTAAAAACTAGGATGAAATGGTATCTCTACTTCCTCCATTTGGTCACCTTGTTTTTTTATCAAATGTCTACTTGCTTCATGCTGATAGAGTTTCAAAGCATCTTCACCTACAATTTTATGAAAATTTGACAGTGGCAATTCATATTCAAGTCTGTCTCTGAATTTCTCACCAAAGACATCTGATACTTGATAGAAATCAAAATTTAAAGCCAACCACACCAATACCAGAGTTTTTATGCTCAATGACCCATTTGGACAAATAGGTATGTAATTACTTTCAAGGAGTACATCTTTGCTACAACAGTACATGTAGATCTTAACCTTTTCATGTGTAGCTAAAAAAGATGGAATTAACTCATCTCTATCACTTTCCTCACAGAATGCATTTGTAATTGTCTGTGCTATAGCTTGAGCCTCTGCTTCTTCTTGCCTACATAACTGTTTGTCACCTGCCTTTTCATGACATTTAACCTCAACAAATGAAAAGCTAGAACTTGAACTAACACTGGCATCGGAATCACTGTCGTAATGTTCTGCTTGATGTCTGGTTGATCTTCTAGCTTCATCATATTCTTTGTTCACAGTGACGGTACATTTATTTAAAATCATATCAGCATTACCATGCCAAACTTCAATATTTCCTGAAATGGTAAAATAGAGGATACTGAATGAGTGTAGGTTTAATACTAAATGTATTGAAATAGTTGAATAAAATCATATTGTTTTATTCATTGAGTTCAATAAATTTAGTATTGAATCTACACGAATATAATATAATAAAATATTATATTTATCACATAATTATAAAAAATAAGAATGGTAAACTGAATGACGCGCCTATAGTGTAACGCCCTTTAACGCTATATTTATATATAGCGCAAATGACATCACGTCAAAGTGTTATAACACTAGTGTAATATCGTTTTTATTAAATGGCTTTATTACACTCCTTGTTTGTGATAAGTAAAATTTTTCTAGACTATGGCTCACAGAAGCCACATACTGTCACAGTCTTGTATATTATCTAGCAACAAGAAACATGGCGATGCCATGAAACCAGGTTTTCAATACTCACTGTTATATACACATATAAGGAAAATCAATGACCCCCTGGGCCGGGGAAAATTTTGACCCAAGGGCTTACAGTTTTAGAGATAATGTTTTTATTATGTACATATAACAAGAGCCACCGCCGGGCGGGGGCAACGCTCGACTTTTTACTTACTCTAAAAGCAAACAAAGAAATGTTTGAACAAAATCTTAACGTTTCCTTTTTATAAAATTAATCGGTCTGTCTTGTCACAAAAGTTTTGTCTATATATTTTGTATATATAAATATACTAAATTAAATATATATATAAATAGAATCACGCAATTCTATAAATAGAAAATTCTATAAATAGAAACATGCAATTCTATAAATAGAAACATCAATTCTATAAATAGATACACGTGGGGGAGTCACGTGGTGACACGTGGTGGTGGCATGTGGTGGAGTCACGTGATTGAGTCATGTGGTGGTGTCACATGGTGGAGTCACGTGGTAAAGTAACGTGGTAGTGTCACGTGGTAGTCACGTGGTGGTGTCACGTGGTGGAGTCACATGGTGGAGCAACTACATTACCTAAGTAGCGGATCCACAAGGCAATAATTCTACATGCCAAATATCTTAACTCTGGACATTTTAGTTTTGCAAAATTACAAAATTTTTAACATATAGGGCTATAATTTGAACAAAATTGGTAGAGGTCCACTAGACAATGTTTCATACCAAATATCTAAGCTAAAGCCTCCATGGTATAATAGAATAAGTTTTTTTATATTGTTTTTACTATATAATTATAAGGAAAATCAGTGAACCCCTGGGACGGGACCAATTTTGACCCCAGGGCTCTTTGAAATTATGAGAGTTCTTATTTTGACTGTTTTAGCATGCGCTGTTTGGCGCTACATTGTGAAGTCACCTAAACAAAACTTTAAACGTCTGTACAGCGTTATTGACCGAATTAAAGATGATTTTATTGGCGTTCGGATATATTTTTTTCGATCATTATTTACCATTCTAGATAGTATTCAAAACAAAATTCAACAAGAAGTTGTTTTTTATTTATCAGATTTTTCAAACAAAATGGTGCCGTCTATGTGTCTGTTTGAAAATACAGAGGGAGGAAATAAGAATAGCGAGTGCATTATGGTAGATTCTAACAGTCGACCCGCATTTTTCACTATTGAATACAGAAGAACCGAAAGTGTTAAAGTAATGTTAAAGGTAACTTGTGTTTAAATGTCAAACAAGATTAAGAAGAGGTGATGACAGAATTAGGTATAAGAGCGCTCCAGACGACCAAAAGTAGCATGGCCGAAATATTGTAGATTGCGTTACAACACTTTTTGAACAAGCAATTATCATAGTATTGCAAGCAATCCATAAGTCCCCTACCGGTAAGAGCCCAAGCAACATTCTGAAGGGCCATTGGCCATTAACTTAGGTTCCTATTTTAAGTAAATTTGTTGAAAAAGTTCTTTAAAAGTGATCACAGGAAACAGTTTTTATGTACAGACAGACGGACTGAAAGACACTCTAAAGTTATTTTTTAAACATCCCTGTTATCAAAATATAACATTTTTAAAATCCTATCATGATTGAAGAAGTTGGAGTAAAAATTACCAATTTGTCAAAAAAAGTCTAAGTTCAAAAGGGGCATAATTCTGGAAATAGTCTTGCTAGAGTATTGAACACTCACAAAATTTAATGTTGAGTGATAATAAGAAACATTTATATGAAGTTTGAAGTAGATACATTCAGAAAAAGAAGTTATTAAAAAAAACAATGTTTTTTTCATGAAAATTTCAAGTTCAAGGGAGGTAATTCTGATAAATTTTGTGCTAGAGTTGTAAACCTTGTCACATATGATGTGGTTGATGACAAGCAACTTATATTTAAAGTTTGAAGAAAATACCTTAAGAAATAAGAACTTATAGTGAAAAAACTTAAAAACTAGAATCAGAAATCTTGAAATTCAGTCTATTTGTTGCCATAGCAACCAGAATTTTCAACATAGGAAGATAAAAAAAGGATGTGCATAATTTCCATACTGCCATCTACCCATATGTCAAGTTTCATAAACATATTTTCAGTACTTTTTGTGTTATCACTGGATCCAGGTTATGTGTAAAATTTGCCATATTTTCAGTCTATTTGTTGCCATAGCAACCAGAATTTTCAACATAGGAAGAAAAGAAAAAGACGTGCATAATCTCCATACTGCCATCTATCCATATATCAAATTTCATAAAAATATTTTCAGTACTTTTTGCGTTATCGCGGGATCCAGGTTATGTGTAAAATTTGCCATATTTTCAGTCTATTTGTTGCCATAGCAACCAGAATTTTCAACATAGGAAGAAAAGAAAAAGACATGCATAATCTCCATACTGCCATCTATCCATATATCAAGTTTCATTAAAATATTTTCAGTACTTTTTGCGTTATCGCGGGATCCAGTTTTGTTGACGGACGGACAGACGGACGGAGGGTAAACCTAAAGTCCCCTCCGGTAAACCGGTAGGGGACTAAAAAGGCAGACATCTCACACACAGTATGGGAACCAGTGAAATCTTTATTTTTAAATTATAATTTTAAATATGAAATTCATGAAGTAATAGCAAAGGAACATTACATGTATGAAGTATACGTCAGACAGGTACCATGGCTGTTGAAATTAGGGGACTAAAAAGGCAGACATCTCACACACAGTATGGGAACCAGTGAAATCTTTATTTTTAAATTATAATTTTAAATATGAAATTCATGAAGTAATAGCAAAGGAACATAACAATGTAAAGGACAGACATGGCTGTTGAAATTAGGGACTAAAAAAGGCAGACACTCACACAGTATGGGAACCAGTGAAATCTTTATTTTTAAATTATAATTTTAAATATAAAATTTAAAAAGGAACATTATGAAAGTTACGTCAGACAGGTACCATGGCTGTTGAAATTAGGGGAACAAAGGAACATAACATGGGAAACCAGTGAAATATTTTTAAGTTCATACAAAGGAACATCAGATACGTCAGACAGTACCATGGCTGTTGAAATCGGAAGAAATTAAATAGTTGGTAAACATGAATTTAATTTGACGGCATGGACGTTGTCAAAGTGCTCCATGATGATGTATATATAATTATGTTGTATGTAAATAATTTTAAAATACAAACGTACGTCACAGTTCAGTAATTTTTGATAAATGTGTTCGCTAGATATGTACATTTATGCTGATACAATTTGTACAGCGTATGTATTGTTTTACAATAAAAAATGAAAATGTACATGAACTTTCCGGACATCCCTCGTAAATATTTCAAGTTTCAAACCAATATCTTAAAGGGTATAGAATATAAGTGTGGTGGTATGATAAACTCAACCGAAAGTGTGACACAGACACCGACGCCAATTTCAGTGAGTACTGAGTAGGATAGCTCTCCTTATTATATTAATATAAAAGTCAAGATAAATATGTATGGGTTTTAGGACACAACAAATTTTGCACAATCTTTATATAATTATTAATATTCAAATATATTTGAAGAGTCAGTACTCATTGATATCCCTAGTACTAACTGACTGATAATTTTCAAATAACTCAACCAAGAAGCATACCAAAACTCACCAAATGATGTATCTGTAAACCTAAGCTTTTGACCACATGATGGACACTTCCTTTGTTGTTCATCTTTAGGAAAGTGTTCATTGTCAATACCATACTGGTCAGTATCAGGTAGATCAGGAATCAAAGGTGCAAAGAGATGAACAGCAAGGATAGCCTTCACCTCCACTTCATTATCCATTTCTGATAATTTCAAAATGCATTTTTCATGTTTGTCTGAAAATATAAGAATAAGTTTTGGAAAAAAAGCTGCAAATTCTTCTGTGCATCATTTTAAACAGCAACATTCCTTAGCTAACTGGATTGTTCTCTGACATGAAAAGAGAATTCAAAGACTCTGACACTGCTCGAACCTACTACGGAAGAGGCAAATGGTTTGAAGACAATGACCTTGACCATTCAAAGGAAGAATCCAGGATTTCTGGTTAGGAGGGGGCGCAATGAAATTTCTTGTTTTAACAAATTTTAATATTCTTATTTGACCTCTTGTGACCTTGACCTTAATTTTGGGCAAGACATTCAACATGGAGAACATTTGTGCTAAGTTATTACCCCAAATGACCCATATTAAAACTTGACCTAGAAATCATCAAAACAACCTTTCTGACCAATTTCCAGGATATTTAGCTCAAAACAGTAGCCTTTAGTGCGTTAACAAGGTTTTTCCATAGTGGGGCTGTATGACCTAGATTTTAACCCAAGATGACCCATATATGAACTTGATGTAGAAATCATCTAAACAACCTTTCTTATCAATTTATAGGATATTTGGATCAAAACAGTAGCCTCTAGAGTGTTAACAAGGTTTTTCCATAATTGGGCTATGTGACATTGAGTATTGACATTTTCACACTAGTCGTTTTGCTACCTAGCATCTGGAGATAACCAATCTTCTAACTTGACCTGTATTTCATTGAGACAAACATTCTGACAAAGTTTGAAGATGATCCAATGAAAACTGTGAGTGCTAAAGTGTTTACAACCAAATTGTTGACGACGCACAACAAAATAAATAAACCTTAAATTTAACAAGAGCCACCGCCGGGCGGGGCAATGCTTGACTTTTTACTTTCTCTAAAAGCAAACAAAGAAATGTTTGAACAAAATCTTAACGTTTCCTTTTTATAAAATTAATCGGTCTGTCTTGTCACATTAGTTTTGTCTATATATTTTAAATAGAAACACGCAATTCTATAAATAGAAAATTCTATAAATAGAAACACGCAATTCTATAAATAGAAACACGCAATTCTATAAATAGAAAATTCTATAAATAGATACATGTGGTGAAGTCACATGGCGACACATGGTGGTGTCATGTGGTTGACACATGGTGGTGTCACGTAGTGGTGTCACTTGGTGAAGTCAAGTGGTGAAGTCACGTGGTGAAGTCACGTGGTGGTGTCAAGAGCCCAAGTGTTTGATAAACAACAAGGTCTTGTCCTTAAGTATGTTCTGTTATAATATGAAGTTAATCCCTTCAATAATAGCAAAGTTACAGCCAGTTACAGCCAAAACAATGAAAATTTCAATAATTTGAACTTCAAAGTCAAGGTCATTAATGAGTGAAGGTCAAGGTCTTTCTGGTTATTTTTTAAGGGATATCCTTGAACATTATTATGTTCAAGTTTGAAGACAATCCATTCAAAAATAACAAAGTTACAGCCAATAACAGCAAGAACAAGCAATTATCATAGTATTGCAAGCAATCCATAAGTCCCCTACCGGTTAAAACCCCAGCAACACTCTGATGGGCCATTGGCCATTCAATTTTACCAGTGGATGAATGACATGAATGAACTTATATCTTTTGAGTTCTAAGTTTGTCTATATCATAGTAATGTGTTAAGTTTCCCTGCCTAGTAAAGTAATTATGTTTATACAACCTTGTCATATTATTATGAAGTGGGATTTTAAAGTAAATCCTATAAGGAATGAAGAAGTTGGAGTGAAAAGTACCAATTTTTCGAAAAAGATCTAAGTTCAAGGGGGAGATAATTCTGGAAAGAGTCTTGTTAGAGTATTTAACCTTCTCAAAAATGTTGAGTGATAATAAGAAACAGATATATGAAGTTTGAAGTAGATACATTAGGAAATAAAGAAGTTATTTAAGAGTTGTTAACCTTGTCACATATGATGTGGTTGATGGCCAGAAACTTACATTTAAAGTTTGAAGTAAACACCTTAAGAAATAAAGAACTTATAGTGAAAAAGCTGAAAAATTTAAATCAGAAATCTTGAAATTCAGGCTATTTGTTGCCATAGCAACCAGAATTTTCATCATAGGAAGAAAAGAAAAAGATGTGCATAATCTCCAGACTGCCATCTACCCATATTTCTATATTTATTTTCGTACATGTGAAACAGGTAAGAATTCATTATTTTTGTTATCATAAATACTTTTTAAACCGTAAATCAAACCTGACATGGCCAATAAAAAAAATGCAAATAAATTGGGTCTCCCTAATTACCGACAAGAACCGTCAGGAACAGACAAGAACCGACAAGAGCTTATATATTGCAAATAAACACGTACAATTGTGTTTTTATGATTATTAAACATGCAAGGCATATAAATTTTCATATATGATAAGTTTTTGATAAGGTTTCTCATGTCTTTTTTCTAGAAAATTAAATATATGTGTACTGACAAGAAAAATTCGAATGCAACGCGTTCTGTTACTGTAACGTTGACATTGACAGAAAAATTTGTTATTTACATAATCAGTTGCAAAATTTGTGTTTAAAATATCTTATGAACATGTTTCAACATTATTTGTAGTCATAAATCAGTTTTTCATTACATTGCATGAATGTATATGCAATCAACAAGAAAAAAAACCAGGAATCAAGTGTAATGAAGATTTACCGACAAGAAATTGAGAACGAGCTGTAGTGTAGAAAGTACATGTATATAATCCATTTTTATGTTGTTATAACTTTTAACACTTTCAACTTTCATATTTTATGCGTATAAGATGATACAATAATGTATTTTATAAATCTATTACCGACAAGAAAAAAACAGTGATCATGCCAGGGTTTTTTTCCAGGATTTTGGGAACATGACCCATACCCATGGAATTTGGAATTTCAGCGATGTTTTGTTAAAATTTGGGAAAAATTGCATGACTTAAATTTTGCAGTGATTAAATGAATGCAAAGAATAACTGACTAGGAAGGCATCTTCAAACTATTAAACACCATAACAGTGAAGAAGTCCTTATTTTCTAAGATTTTAGAATTTGTTATTAAATATTTTTATTTTGTAACTTTCAATTGGGAATTTTTTCCTGTGGATTGGGAAAATTATATACTATTTTCGATTGGGAATATGACCGAATATCGGCTATAAAATAAGGCAAAAAAAATCCCTGCATGCGTAATGAAGATTTACCGACAGGAAATTGAGAAGTTTTCACAGCTTTGATTAAGTTAAATTGCTCAAAGCTAACTGAGAGAGAAACACACGCGCACAAGCTTTAATTGAGTAATATCAATCAATTTGTTTGAGCAATCGATTTTTAAATTTTCACTTGAAAAAAACATTTTTATTGCCCTGAATATGTTATATGTATATATGCTAATAAAATAATTAAATTGAATCTTTTTGTCTATTATTTTATTTTATTTCTTATGTTCTTATTGCATGCTTTACCGGTGTATTTGAGTAAAAATTGTAAATGGATTATAATTGGATAATTTAAATGGCAGGTATGTAAAACTTTATCTATGAAATTTATTTTGATACAGTTATGAATGACTATATATCAATTTTAAACAATTATAACTGAACAGTTTCAATTTTTCATTGTTATATCTTGCCTGTACACAATGTCTCTTTAAAGAAAACCTGAAGAAATACATGATAATATTTCTTGTCAAAACTGTAGACATGAAAACATTTCTCGACGGTACTTGTAGACATGAAAACATTTCTTGTCGGTACCATAGCAGGCTGTCAACCAGGTCTTATCCAAAATAAAGGAGGAATATAGGAATATTTTAGCAGGAAATATAGGAGTTTTTGGACCATTTTGAGGCAAAAAAATAGGAGTTTTCAACTTAAATTGTTTAACTTACCAATGCTTATATAAATGTAAATTACTAAATTATTCTTACTTTTACACATGCTGTTTCTACAATAAAATGTCTACCGTATAAGTGAAGGAAACCATTAGCAGGCTGTCCAGCACCTTCCGAGATAAAATTAGGGCGAATTTTAGGGTAATATTTCAGAAATTTTAGGGCTAAAATTAGGAATTTTAGGGTACAGTACTGGACACGCGAAACCCGCAAAAGTCGCGTTATGCCGCGAGTGTAGTCTATGTCGCGACGGGACACTTCGCGGTAAAACATCGCCGCGTGCAAGTTCGCCGAATTTCGTGGCGGGTCACGAAAAATCGCCGCGATGTATCGCCGTAATTTACGGCGAATCTTCAGCAATAATTGTATTAGAAAGTACTACTTGGTCCTTAATTCCCGTGATCTTTAATTTTGAAAACTTTAAAAAAATCTTGTAAACGTCTTGTATATTTATAAATATTTAGCATTTGAACATGTACAGCGTATACATTTTGTATATTAAAACAAAGCAATCAGGTGCTGGTGAAAATTAGTTAACAATAAAACGAGATTGAAATTACAAAAGGTAATTGGTACTACATCAAAGAACGCACGATAACAAATTGTCCAATTGTTATTTTGATAATAATACAAATGTAATTAAAATCCATTGTTTACTTTCGCACATATTCTATTTTTAGAACAATGCAAAGCGAAATTTAGCACCGATTCACAGGTGTAACTAATTATTACGTCTAATACGCTAATTATGATTGTTGAAAATTGTAAAAGTTTTATCACTTAAATTGACATTCTTTACCTTCAATTTCACGAGTACAAAATGCCAGGTGCATGAGTAGGTGATGAGAAATGTAAATAAAATATCACAATCAAAATGCACTTACGATTAATAATATGTCAATAATTGACACAATCAATATATCCAACATTTTTTTTACTTGAGCAATAATTAAACATGTGTAATCATTCCTTGACAAAAAGAAATGACAGTTTTTTTTTTTCTGATATATAAAAAAGAGGTGAAAGTCAATCGAGTGTCGGCATTTCTTTGATGATTCGGCAACAACTACAGGTGTGTAAACATCAAAGATTCACAGATTCTTCAGAAGAGCCGACCAGTCATTTGTCAGAGGTCATTTCGTGTGTAAATTTTGTATTTATTATTTAACAATGGAAACATTATATTCCTTTTATTTATGGATGCTTCTTTTTGCACGAGTGTTTTTGTGTCTTTTAGCGCTATGGAATTTCAACAATCGGCGATAATTTTCGGTAACTAACAATTAAATATTTTAACATTTTTAAAACAGGGGTGCAAATATCCGCCATTCAGAAATTATAGCAGACAAATCTTGCGTGTGTTATTTTTTACAAACGTGTAATAAATTGAGTAATGATCACCCGAGAGAACGAAATGTCCCGGTGATCCACTACATTTAGAAATGAACAAGTTAATGTCGTATCAATTATGTATCTTTTTATGTAACTAAATATCTTTTTACACATATATTATATTTATATCTCTACTTTAAACTCAATATGTACCCCCCCCCCTAAAAATAGTTTTACACGTGTACATGCACACTATTTACCTGCAGATGGAGCCGCATACTTGTACTGCGTCGCATTTATACATTGAGGTCATGATTCCGCCATTCACGGAAAGTTTTTAACGGTGTTATTTGATTTCGCCGTGGTTATTTATATTTGCTGTTGGCATCAAAGATAAATAGAGAAAGGGCATTTTAGCAAATTACAAGATTTTTTTCTTGATACAACTTCATGTAGATCTACTAATTAATTTTCGTACTTGTACATGTATATCTGGTTTCAAGTTCACAGACTACACTTATAAATAGATCTACATTTATTATACAAATGAACATGTATTATTCCCCGCGAATCGCGGCAAATGTTCACGGCAAAATCGCCGCGAGTTGAATTCGCGGCGATTGTCTCAAGTTGCCGCGAATTCGCTCGCGTTATAAAGCATGAGAGTTCGCCGCGAATACGCGAATTGTGCGGGTTTCGCGTGTCCAGTACTGTACGTAATAGAAATTTTAGGGCTAAAATTTGCAATTTTATGACTAAATAAACTAAGGTCCCAAAAGACCATGATGTGGGCTAACCTTTGCATATTTGACACATAAGTAACTCACAAATAATGCTCTAGTTTAGTTTGAGCAAAGGTGCTACCAGTGTGGACTCACTGGTCAACTGCCTCCCCTGCGGAAATGGTCATAGTCAAATCATGTTCAAACCATATTTTTTAAAATGGCTGAACATGTCAAAAAGAACATGTTCTACCTATGTTTTAGGAATGTTAATTTTTTTATAACCACAAGTGTCTAAAAGGAATTCTTATACAGTGAAATTCTGGCACAATGCAGCTTTTGAATATGGACAAATGAATTTTTTTGTAAAAGTAGGTAAAAAGTAAAAAGGCATTTGCCTTAGTACAGTCATTTGAATAAATGGGAAGCATCTATAATCAACACAAAGAATTGCACATCAAAAAAGTTCATCACACATACCATTCAATTGCAGTTTATCTAGATCACAAAATTGCAAAATGTGTGTACATTGTAATTGGAAATGAGCTTTATATTACTGAACTGCCAAATTATTTTGAGTGTGATTAATTATATGAGTCTGCCTTTTCCTAAATGGGACCATATGAATGAAAGAACAAGAACTGAATGAAATTGATAACTTTGTGGCAAAATAAGCAATTTCTCCTACAAAGATACGAAAAGGATAAATAAGTATGAGGGAAAGAATTAATTTTTCAAAGTCTATGTTAACCCATTCAGTACTTTACAATGTTGTTTTGATATTATGCAGATTTAAATAAAAGAGTTGTGAGTAAACAAATTGTACATTAATTTTTGACAACTATTTATACATGTTTTTAATTAAGATTGTGTTACAACAGCTTCATAATGATCATTTTCAAATATGATATGATATAAATGGACCACTTCAGAAATTTGGATAAAATGAACAAACATAAAATTCAAGATATCTGGAGTTGGCAAAACAGTGTCAAAATATTCCAGAATAAGTGGACTCTTATGGTTATGATTTGAGTTTCAGGACCATGATATGGTAGTGTTTTTGCTGTTAACTGTCCACATGATTATCAACAACTGCTTTGATTATGAAATAGCAATGTTACTGACATAGTCAAAGTAACTTTTAGTTGAAACGAAACCATTTCAATGTCATCAATTTTGAGTTGGCAAATCATGGCCAAATCATTTTTGACCATGTTCAAAACATGGTCGACTTAGTTATGTCCGTGATTATTTTGACAGGGTTACAAGTTATAAGTATGTTTATAACAAAAGATAAAAATAATTAGAATTTCAGTGAAAAAAATAGGGCATTTTTAGGAATTCCCTTCCAATTTTTCACTTGTTTAGGAATTTTAGGGATGCTGGACAGCCTGCATTAGCTTTGAACCACAGCATCAGCAGAAAGTTACAGCAATGCATGACCATCATCTAAATGGTCACCTGAAATAAAGTTGACATACTGATGCACTGCTTTTCATGGTGACCATGCAGATGGCTATGTGGAGCACAGCAGCCTTGAGCATAGTAATGTGATGCTGATGCAGGCATACACATTCTCTTACCTGTAAAATACAAAAGGCCAAAAGCAGTACCAAAATTTAAATCTCTTTGAATTCCTCTGCAATATATTTTAAAAAAATATAGGAAAAATATTCAAAATATAGGAAAAATAGGAGGTTTTTTAAAATATAGGATTCAGACCCAAAATATAGGAGTTTTATAGGAATATAGGAATTGGTTGACAGCCTGCCATAGACATGAAAACATTTCTTGTCGGTAGACATGAACACATCGGTACAGAAATATTGCCTAAATGCAGGATATTTTGTAATCAATGACAACGAAATAATTTTGAATTATTTATTGAATATAGGCTGTTTGAACATGTTTAAAAACCTATGCAATCGCTGGTAATACTGAAATTTCTTGTCGATAGCTGCGAATCTTCTCATAAGGTTTTTATTAATAATGATATTCATAATTAAATTAGAGTACATTTAACGTTATAGTTATTATTTATAATACAACATTTAAAAAAAAAGTTGTGATTTAACAGTTATATACAATTCTTAATGTAGGCCTAATATCAATGATACGAAGATGGCCGAGTTCTTGACGGCGAGAACTGAGACTGACTTCTTGTCAGTATAGATATTTGCCTATAAACATGGTTCAGAACGAAATTATTATGTTTTTCACGTTAAGAATATTAGGAATTGTGATTATTAAATGATGAATAAGTTAAAATAGTTCGTATTTTTCTACTTTTACTTCTTGTCGGTTCCTGACGGTTCTTGTCGGTAATAAGTGAGACCGAATAAAATTGTTAACTTTCCTAAAAATATGTAAAAAAATGGGTGTGAACCGTCTGAGTACTGAAATGTCTTGGTGGTGAAACATCTGAAATTCACGCCAGACATAGCTCCATCACTATACCTCACCTTGACCACTTCGTTAGCACTTTGTGGTCAGGTGAGCTAATAATACATTGGCTCATTTCCACCTGTAATAAATTGTAAATAAATTTCAAATTTAATAACCATTTATAAGATCTATACTGATTTATTCCTTTATTTTTGTTTGGGATTGGTTAAAACTGAATAAAATAGATTCTATACCATAATCTTCTGTCAAATACTTCTTTATACTGGCTAATGCACCTTTTTTGTTATCATCTAAAATAGACGCATCTGGCCTTTGTTCGTCACCGCCTCCTTTTTCAAGTCCCAAAATCATATCTAAAAAAGAGTCCGTTGCTTCTTTAAAGATAAATGCAAACGGTATTCCGGTTACGGGTACGTTATTAGACGGCCGTGTACGGTCAATCCATGCTTTCCCAAATGGAACAGATGTTCTTCCATTGCAATTCTTGATAACTATTGGACGTAGCGCTGAATTACCGAAAAAAAGATATGTTTCTGGCATTGAAATAATAGAAGAATAGTTCGCCATGTTCAAGGTACAAGGACACTAAATTTGAGGATGTACTATTCGCCGGACTCCCTCGGTAATTCCCGGTCTCTCAAACTAAATACCGCATTCCGGTATATGCCGGACAAGGCGCTAGTCGCAGAGGGTCTCAACCCGGTACGGAATTAGACCCAGCCCATTGTAGTCTAGAAAGTAGTTCTTTAAAATTATGAAATGGCCCAATTTAAGTCATCTCTAGTTAGATTGTTCATAATTAAAGTGTATTTATTGCATGTGTGTAGTTTTTGTGTGTTATATGATGACTTTAAAAGTTGTTTTTTGTGTATTCTCCAGGAACTCATTTGTTGGTGGAAGGATTAAAGATGTACTACCCACCAGCTGTCAGGAGTTTTTAAAGTGGTGAATTTAAACAGTGTTACAACAGAATGAAGATTTCTGAAAAAAGTAGATGGCTAACCTATTATATTTTGGGCATCATTTGACTTAGATAGTGTTAATGTTTAAAGTTGAAGACAGTATATAATTCATCAAGAACATTGGAATCAAGAATTAAACCTCAAATTTGACTGATTTACTATAGAACTAATAGTACGAAAATTCACCGGGCCGAGTCCAGAGTGGAACAGAAACAAACTTCGATGTATTTAATGAATCCAAATAAAAGTGGTCTAAAAAGATAATAAAATAATTATACATCATATACAATACATAAAATATAATAGCAAAATACAATGAAATAACAATTTATACACAATCGACGCGGAATAAAAAAAAAATATACAAAAATACATAAATAAGATATACAATCAATATCTTAATTTTAATACTATTTCTTACCACAGCGTCTGTATGAAGATCTTTACTTATGAAATTATTTAAATATGAATTGAAATATAGAAAGCAGTAGATCAAATGTTAAATAAATTAACTAGTATTAACACCGATTTTATGTATGATAATGATTGAAAAAAATGTAAGAATCAGCGAGAAAAAAACCCAAAAAAAACAACAAAAAAAAACAACAAGATTTGTCGATTTAAATTGATCGTCATTTCTGTAAGCGACTATATATCTATCTAGAGGTGAGTGCTCCAGTCTAGTATGGAGTTAATCCAATTTGACCGGTGATATTAACTAGAAGCCTGCGAATAGTATCACACTTTTATTATCCGGTTCCTCCCGGTTTTAAAAGTACATAAATTGTTTGATTCCGTCTGGGACATACGATAAGTATATCACAGATTCCGTTACAAATCAATAAGATTTTTCACCAAAAAAGGAATGTTGATCACTTAATTAGTTTGGTTACAGTACATCTAACACATATCATCTGTCAATTTTATTTATCATTATTTATTATACATAAATTAAGATGCAATTCTAATAATAACAATAGAATATTCCTTTCATTTTATTAATAAATATCAGATAAAACAATACTGGTAAATATATACATTGTACAATAGATGAAAAGAGATTCATTTCTATTATCTTATAATATGACACAATCAACTTTGAATGATTTTATTTCATTTGTTATTTGCGTAAGTAAAAATATCTTGGAAATCATTACTGGTTAGTAGTTACATTAAATATAGTTGTGCATAGTGTCAAAGCGACAAATGGTCACGTAAACATTTTTGTATTGCTGTCGAGGCAGACATATTATCATATAAGTTGTATACATGTATATTTAGCTTCATAGCCCATTCAAAATAAAATTGACTAACGTCTCGGGCAATATTAATTAATGTTATTGTCACAGGGTGAGAAAAAAGTACAGCCTGACCGGGACTCGAACCCGGGACCCTCGAAATACCGTACCGCGGCTCTACCGACTGATGAGCTAGCCGGCCGCTTACACATTATCTCCCCTAAATAGTGAACAGTTCTGAACCGTGACATGTATACGCCCCTGCTATATTGAAATTCGTCCTCGAATTTCACAGAGTTACAGAGCAATGTAAATTAAACTCTGAGCTATATCAGTCACGGTCCCCCGTTTCGCGCCCAAATCCCACAGGGTGAGAAAAAAATGTGGCAGCATGACTCGGAAACCCGGGACCCTCCCGATCAGAATAATTGCTCTCCTAAAAAAGTGAACAGTTCTGAACCCCGTGACGTTATCATATTTAAATTATTGTTTAAAGCTTTAAAATGGCTGCAAAAAATGGGCTGGTACATTCTGCCTATCGATGACCACGAATCATGGTTGGTTCCTTGTAAAATTTGCTCAACAGACCGTGGGGTGTGTATTATGTCAATGCAGGTACCAGTATAGTTTAATTGCCAAAGGATCTTTATTTCTTTGACCCGTGCATATGCTCCACTTTTTTAAAATTATTAGAGGTTTACCCCCCTAGCAAGAGTAGTGTGTCTCGTACGTAGCCACGTATAGCCCAGAGAAAAAATTCTAAACGGCTGCATCAATGAACTGTGCATTTTTGTACTTAACGGCGTATATTGCCCCGTGTTAAAACTTAAATGTCAGCATTAGTGGACTGTTTATTCCTTTGAAGACACTCACATATGGCACCGTGTTAAAACTGAAATGACTTGAGTAACAGGCTGTCCAGCGTCCCTAAAATTCCTAAAAAATCCTAATTTTTTTCAGTTTGGCTAAAATTCCTAAAAAAATGAAAAATTCAAAGGGAATTCCTAAAAATGCCCTATTTTTTCAATGAGATTCCTATTTTTTTTTTATCTTTTTGTGAAAACCGTAATGGCGAAAACAAATGCCATTTTTCAATCACAACCTAAATTCGAACACAGTCCAGTGGAGCTGATTCAAATTGTCTGACTTAATTGCAATTAAAGTCATATGTTGTTATTTACTTCAACTCATTGCAGAAATGCAAATAAAACTTGATTGTCATCAGATGTTATCAGAAAAATAATAAGAAACTTTGTTTGTTATAAATGGAAAAATAAAAAAAAATGAAATTCCCGACCTTTGACTATATCAAAATTTAGTCACCTGTTTAAAATTTTTTTTTTTTTTTTTTGTGATACAATTTTTTTTTTCAAGGAGGTTACATTTTTAAATTTTGGCTACCAGTAGAGTTTTACCAATTTACCTCAGTCTTAGGTGTATTTAAAAGCGAACTAATTACATGATTTTACCGCTAAATTTCATTAGACTTTTTGTAGGGGTCCTTATTAATAAAATGTTAATTTATAATCCAAGTTATTTTCAAATGATGACTGTAGAACAGATCTTTTGTAAGTGATACCAGCTGGTAGATCTAGACAAGTTTCCATATTTGCTAATTATAAAGTGGGTAAGGTAAACTGGCAGTAATGATTGAATGCTTTAACCATTTTGTATGGAATGCCGGTAGGGACATGCGAATTTGCTTTTTTGCCAAATGCTGAATTGCTTATTTGCTAATTGCCGATTTGCTTATTTGCCAATGGCTGATAGGCTTAATGACAAATTTGCTTATTTGCCAATTGCTGAATTGCTAATTTGCTTATTTGTTGACCGCTGGTTTACGTATTTGCTTATTTGCCAATTTTGCAATGGAAATAGTTTACACTGTGCCGGAAGTATATGGAAAATCTGACTACAGACAACCAGTTGAGTCAGATCTGTTAACTTTTACCAACAATATTCTTGTAAATTCAGTGTTAACTTTCCAAGAATACTAGCTGTTGGTCAATGAATTTAGTTGCAGTGATGCCTACGCAGATATATGTCTACAACTGATGGCTGACATGTCTTTGAGAACACAAACGCTTGGGGGTCAGATCCCGTACCCCAACGTGATACCTGCCCCTGTAAACACTATTAAAAATATTTTAATATTTAAACACGAATTGGACATCGTTAAAACTGGTTTTCAAACAATTTTTACATATACCGGTATGAATAATACCATATACCACCAAGTCTCAATAAAGTACTTAATGGTTTTATCGTTGTAACGGATGACCAATTCGTATTTAAATAAATATTAAAATAGTTTTGATATAGTGTTTACAGAGGTGTATCACGTTGGGGGCAGGATCTAACTCCCCAGCGTCTGTGCTTGAGAATGCCTAATAATGTGTTGCAGCTAAAGATCTGTTTGTGCAGCTTAAGTCAGAGAGTGATGGCATAATAAACACTTGATTAGTCATATATATGTGAAAATTATTGGGTAAAGATTGAAAATAAAAGAACTTGAACAAAACTATGTCTTATTTTATGGCATATAAAATGTCGTTATTCTCAGCAGATTTGTCACGGAGGGCCTCATTTTAGTGGTACGAACATATAGTATCACGAATGATACATTTGGTGCATGCTTAACACGGGTGTTTGTCTTTGCACTTAAGCAATAGGCTTCGTTTTTAGCTCTGTAAGATTTTGAGATCACTTATGTCGGTGTGTCCATCAACATTTTGCTTTGGTTCAATGTTTTACACTTTTCCATTTCTTCATGTTGAACATTTTACATGCCATCAGGTGACCATGACCATGATCATGACCTAGGGTATAATGGACAAAGACTATTTGAATATTGTGTATGCATGCTGCCTATTTAATGCTTATGTGAAGTTACAGTTAGATATAAGCAATAGTAACAGAGATATGACAGAAAAACAAAGGCTTCGTAGTACAATACATTGGTGACCTTGACATTGAGTATATAACGGGCACAGCTTTTTCATGTACTTTGTATGCATGCTTGTAAAGCAAAGTTGATGCAAAGTTGTAGTAAGATGCATGAATCAGCAAAATTTAAAACCAGATATTTTTTATTACAGAAAAAAAAAGTTCCCAAAAGAAAACCCAAATGCCTTGGGGGGTAAAATTTGAAAACTAAAAATTTCAAAAAAATTTAAAAAAAAAAACCCAACTACTTTTTTTAAACTAAAATTTAATTTGTTTCGAATTGAAAAAAAAAATTATCCATCTTTTTTCTACCTATTTTTTCTAGGAAAATGATGGTTTTTGATCATAATTGTCCAATTTTATAAGTAACAAAAACCTTTTTTTAAAACTAAAAAACATGATATTGGTTCCCATAAACTTTGAAAAAAAGTTAAAAAAGATTTTTTTAATGTCAAAAA